GGTTGCTTGGCCTCTTCTCCCTTCGGAGAATATCTTGTAATTGAAAGACTGGATAATCTCATATCACTGTTTACAGGGGGGAACACTGCAATCTTACACAGCTGAATAACCATCACAAGATGTTTTTCTTCATAACCTGTTGTTACATCTCATTTAAAATGAAAATGTACTTCCACTATTAGGGTATTCATTCATTTTGCTTTGATCTCCAGTGGGTGGAAACATTGAGAGCTAAACCATGTTTTTATTGCCTATTACACCAAATATTACGTAATAACAAATAAACCAAAAAAACACCCCTGCATAAAAGTCTTTAGTATATAGGAAATTACTATATTAAAACAGGAACTAGAGGACATCTAATGAAAACAGAAAGCAGCAGATTCAAAACAAAAAGTGCGCTTGTCCATATAACTAAGTTGCAGAACTCCTTTCCGCAGGGTATGTGGATGCTAAAGGTTTACAGAGATTCAAAAAGACACGGGATACATTCATTAAAGAGAAATCTGGCTGGCTGGCAGGTCCCTGAGCTGCAGATGGCTATCACCGATGCTTGGCTGCCTTCCACTCTCCTTACTGCCATCCACTTTGGCCGCTGCTGGAGGCATATCAGCTCCAGGATGACTGCTCTGTGTTTGAACACTATTTTTGAAAAACCCATTGATTCACAGCTTTGAGCAACAAGCGGCACAGACGCAGCAATTTGTACCAGGTAACACCCCATTTTATCAGTCCTACTGAATTTAGGTGCTGTGCTGCACGTCCGTGAACACAACCTACTGCCATTTATCTACATCTGTTGGCATACATATAGACTTCTTCAGTTTGCAACACGCTTCCATAGCCCATCTGCTAAAGAAATGCAGAGTCAATGAAACAACTGCAGCTGTCGTACACCTCTCATGTTGGAATATAAGAGAGAGGGTGTCATTTGTGCCTGTTGAAGTGTCTATCGTTATAATCAGGTATGTTAAGTCTGAACTATAAGGTAGAATTCTGTGGCAGAAGGATGAGCCACCCTCTCAAGAAACCTCCTTTTCTCCATTTGTGGTAACTGGAGCGGAGAGCCTAGGGTGACTCACAGCGAACAGCCAGATTGCGGTTACCTAAAATCAGGCAAGATGACCACCCTTCTCATCCAACTGGACGGCATAAAATTTCCTCAACAGTGACATAAAACCGTACTCCCAAACAGTTCAGTGCAAACTCGGGTGATAGGTACTCCTCTGCTTTTGAGCCAAATCCCCTGTTCTTACTCCTTTTTCTTCACTCGGGCAAAACCCAAGGGATGTCAGTAGGAAAAGGGCTTTATGAAGATTTCAAAAGGTGGTTCTTAGTTTATAAAACCCAAGTCTGAAGAAAGCAGACTTGCTTTGTTAATTTTTGCCATAGGCATGGAAAAGTTGGCTTTTACTACTTTCGATGGTGTGTAATGTATTTCTTGTAGCACACGGGTAAAGCGGGAGATGAAGACTGGCAAGGAAGCTATTATTTTTGACAGGTCCAATTTATTGACACTGTTAGTAGCTAATTGACACATTAAAGTGCTGAACCATGAACATATTTACCCAGAGGTCCTCTAAACTTTTATTTATGTCTGAAACTCCTAGGAGAAACAGTAAATATTCACCCCAACCAAAATAACCAACATATGCTAGGAACCACACGGCTGAAATTCAGCTGTTCCTGAAGGTCAATACACAGTTTTAGAATAGGCAGAGGGTAGTGAGACAGCAAGAAATAATTAACTCACTCACCCAGAAATCATTTTCAATTATAAACAGCATGAGCTGCAGGACTGCTCAGTTCTGCTGAATGAATAACCTTCCTCACTAAATATTTCACCAAATTGGGCAGGCCAGCCACAGCGGGACTTGTTTCCGTTCACCACGGCAATCATCCAACTGGCACACATTTTTAAAACAAAATAGATGAAAAAAAATTCACAATCTGAACCAGTAACATAGAAGAGCAGAAGACTCTGTTAGTCCCACTAGGTTGACTGGAGCACTAGGAAGCATGAAAGGGTAAAATCAACCTTTTCACCAAATCCCGCCTCCTGTTGCTCAGACCCTATGTTAAGACTATGTATAGCATTTGGCTGTAAAAGTAATTAAACTTTGTCTTTGCTTCCTAGAAAGCAAGAACATTACACTGCTTAACCAAGGCTTATAATGCAGAGAAGTGTAAGGAGGAGCTGCCTATTTCTTCCACTCAAGACCAAAGACTATCCCCTTTCCAAATATTTATTGTCTGTATTTGCACCAGCTCCTGTAGGAAGCTTGCCATGTACATGTTGACCACCCAAATGAAGCTCCCAAGCAACAGATAGCCGTACGTTTTACACGGACAAGCAGACAAACGTGCATTACTCATAAAGTCATGTTTAGCAGCATTCCAAGAGAAACCGATTTCAAGGTGGTTTTTTTTTTTTTTTTAAACAAATGTGTTTTGTCCTGCATTCAAATTAATCTTGTTAGACCTTCATCTTTCTTGCCTCACTGCTCTCACGCTTGTCTCTCATGCTCACAAAGAGTTAGGAGGAATTCATATATTCATATCAGATGACACTCAGAAAAAAACCATATGCAAAATTCTGGGGATTGTCACTTTCACAATAAGTGCCTCTGGTGGCATCTTGCAGTCTGCATCACGTGAAGTATAAGAGGTTGCCTTACAGATACAGCGCAGATTCCTTCTAAAAGTACACACCCATTGCTTTGTCTGCTTTTCTAAGCTCTAACACCCTCTTTTAGCTCAGAAGTGAATTTTTGTTCAGCTCTGTTCTTGCATAAGGTCATCAGATCCACTGGTGGAAACACAGTAACTGATACGTCCTCTTTAGGGAAGGTAGTTTCATCACTAAGTTTCCACCTATGACCAGTAGCGCACAAAAGTAAACGCAAAATGATTGCAAGTCCCACAGACAGCAAGAACAGTTTTGCTTGCATACAGAGTGTGGGGCTGAGCCCTTTAACGAGGGCTGGCCAAACTCATTTCTTGTACAGGAATGCATAAAGGTGGAAGGGCATCACGCAATTTTCTCTGGCGGCCGCTCGTTTGGAGCGATGGCCTGAAAGCCATCGGGGCAGCTCCACTGCTGTGCCACCCTACGGCAATCCGGGGGCACGGTCCAAGACCACTCCATGATGCAAACCAAAACAAGGGTAACAAGGAACCATCTCCAGATAACTCCTGACCCAAACTATGACATTGCTTCTGAAGAAGGAAGGACTTCTGCACCCCACAGGAGTGCCCCAGCAACCAGCATGGTGATACCCCAATTTCTTACCCCTTTGTTTTGCCTCTGATCCTCTGGTGGACCTGAGCGGTCTCTCCAGACAAGAAGTGCGGCAAAACTCAAGACGTCTCCAATTTGACAAAAAGATATTTCCATAGAATAGGAACTGCTCTGCGAGGCAAATTCTCTCCCTTTCAGTGAGGAAGGAGTGGACTGCAGCCACCTTTCCCTGGGACAACAAAACAAGTTCTAATAATTTCCCAGTCCTGCCCTACCGTTTTGAGGAGAGCAACAGGTTATCCCTACATGTATCTTGACAGGGTTACTTCTTCGGCTCACAAACACTTCAGGGAAAATGGGAAGCCAGATCTGCCCTTTTTTGTGTCTTCTGAGTCCCCCACCTGAGGATGGAGCGAGGAAGTTCCCATGTTCCCCGTCACAGGGAATGGGATCCGGCTCAGCCACATAAGCCTGTGCAAAGAGGAAGGGAGAGGCTACTTGAAGGCCAAAGCAGATTCAGCTTCATGCTGACATACAAATCCTTCTAAGCTATGCATGACCCACTGCAACCCCCAAGCACGCTCCTGCACCGGGGAAGGGTTCGGGCAAAAGGGGCGACGTACCCACCCACCGTCAGAGGCGGTAACAGGCTCCCAGCAGAGCCCGTAACCGCTAGCAGGGGAGCCTGGGCTAGGCTAGCTACCAAAAGCACCTCTGGTTGTGGTGGCTGCCCCTCTGCCCTGTCCCAGCTTGCCCGGCCTGTGCTGTGGGGGCGACGGCACTCTCCCTCCAGCCTGCCTTTCATCCACATCGCGCCTGGGCAGCGGGATCTGGCCCCACAGCATTTAGAGATGTTCTTGAGAAACACTGCGGCCAAGCTTCCTTCCACTACTGATAAACTGTCTGGCCAGAAGGATGGGATAAAGGCCCCTCCAGATGTGCATTTCGGATTTACTTCTGTCCAAAATGAGTCAGTGCTCGGACAGCTGTTTCACTGTGCAGCAGGCACCTCAGAAACTCATTCCTTGGGCAAGTGGAGCGTCCTACCCAATGCACAAGGCTTCCTAGACTTGAGTTTG